AGCTTTAAAGTTTTTTTTTTTTTTTAGTGTTTTAAAAACTACTATTACCACTAGTCATCGCGTGACCGTAAAAAAAATTATTTGAAATTTTATAAAATTAAAATAAATAATTTTTTGTTAAAGCTAAATAAATTTTATTTTATATCCAGATGTAAATAAAATAAAAAAATAATCCCATTTTTTTTTTTTTTTCGTTCGATTTTCTTATTAAGGCTTTATTGTTAAAGGACATTTGTCACATTGGTAGAATGCACAGCCAAATGGAAGAGCTGGGCTTAAGTTGAGCATGATGACAGAAATTTTAGCTTACGAAGATTTCCAATTGAAAAAGGAAAAAAGAAAAAAAAAACCATGCATTCATATGAAGGAATTGATTTTATGCCGTTGTCAAAGCATAGAGATCCCATCAGGTATACAGACATTTTCCGTTTTGATGGCAAACAGCTATAAGTCTGCATGTAGAAAATAATTTTTGAAAAAGGAATGATATCTAAAATTTGTTTGTCTATTATGTCGCCAAATGTAGCTAAATTAATATAAAATATTATAGCTTGTTAAATTTATATTTTTTTTTCTACAAATAATCTCATGGGCCCTTGTTGTTAATTGCAAAACTATTGTTGGTCTTCTTCTAAATTTTATTTCAAATCCATGCTAAAATTTGATACAACACTGAAAATCATAGTGATTGGGCACAAATCTTGAGGCATACTTAAATTAAAAACTTTCAAAATTAACTTCAGGGACAATCAGCTCTGATTTCAACAAATTTATAGCCAAAGTAAAAGTCTTGAAGTGATGATCCAATCACACCAAAGATGGTCCGACTTGAGCCCAAATGAGATCAAATCAAGAGTCTGAAGCATATTTTAAAGTTGTTGGACAATAATTGGAGAAGTATATGTTTTTTAAATTTGACATGTTTATAGCCGAATTGAGCAGCACAACAAGATGAATCCATCAAACCCCATATTATCTAAATCCAATATCATTAAGACACTTAAATGTGAAATAAATGTCTTAGTATTTAGAATTCTTCATATGTTGACATAAACATGTCTAATATCTTACCATTTATGCTGGTCAAATTCAAAAGCAAATAATTTCATAAAGTTTAAATATTTTTTCCCTCCATAATCAACATAAAATTTCTCTCTTTTCCTTGGTCCTCAATATATAATTTCTATCAATATATTCTATAATATTTTTTTTGTAAGTTTTTTTGGTATTATAATAATTAATATTATGAATTTTATTCATGATAGTTTCTTTGAGGATATACTTTTATTTTTTTTTACCACACATAAAATAAAGCATAATAGAGTTGTTTTTAACTATTAAAAAAAACGCTTATGAATACGTAATGGGATTAACATGGAATGATTCATAGCACTACGACAAAACAGGGATAGCCGAAGTCCGAGCAAACTAAAAAAATTGCTTTGGAGCTTAATTTCTAGACTATATTCAATTTCTCTTACTCTTAAAAAAACTCGCAACAAGAGTATGAGTTCTCTAAATCTTGTAAGAACTCACAATATGAATTATGAGTTTTCTAACTATTGCAAGAACTCACATTATAAATTATGTAAAAGAAATTGGAACGAATCATGAATTCACATATCTTAAATACACAAGATCTTAAACAAATTGATTTTCACAAGATTTTAATCGGAATAAAACATACATTGATTTATGTTGAATTCGTTTGAATTCCGAACTATGTTTCTCTTTTTTTCCTTTTCATTTTCTTCTTTCATGACTTAATTCTTTATGGAACAAACTAACTCCCATAATGAGAGAGATAACATCTATTTATTTCCTGCGAATTAGTTATAATAAATGCTCATATATGAGTTATTTGATCAAATGGTTTATAAACGACTGATCAAATTATCTCTTCTTGACTAATAAAATTTAAATATAAATAATTAAATTTTAATAATTCAAATATATGAACCACTCAATGATTTATATAATTAAATATATATATAATTTAAATAATTATTGATTGGACTTGCAAAATTATTATATTTAATTATTTTAACTCGCCGTCCCACCAATCAACCCTTATCAATTTTTTGTAGGAGTTTCCTGTTTCCGCGCTGATTTCGTCTCCACATCAGACTCACGCGTCATGGACAAAATCAACTAGTTGGCATTCAGAATATCGTAAAACCAGGAGCAACAAAACAATATAGTAGTATAAATAAGCCAATACCTGAGCATTAATAGATATCAAAGAAGGTTTAATTAGCCAGCATATTACATTAACAATGGCGCTGATCCCTTCCACTCTTCTCCTCTCCACCCTCCTCCTCCTCCTCCACTTCCCTTCTCATTCAACCGCCAACGAAGGCAACCTCATCGTCACCGGCGACGTCCTCCAAACCGATAGCCAACTGACCTTCCGCAACGCTGTCTTCGTCATCCAGGACGACTGCAACCTCGTGCTTTACAACAAGGGCTCCGGTTTCCAATCCGGAACCAGTGGTTTAGGCCCCAATTGCATCGCCACCATCTCCGAGTACGGCGAGCTTCAGATCAAAAACAACACAGGCAGCATCGTATGGTCAACTCCTGCGTCCAAACAGAGAGGCGAATACGCCGCCATCCTCCAACCCGATGGTCAGGTTGGTATCTACGGCCCCTCTTTGTGGAACACTCGCCAGATCGGCAGATACAGCGTCAACAACACCGTGGGAGAGAAGGATATCAATAAGGGATCTAGCACGCCCAATTTGTTATTTTCATCCGAGGTGTTGAACGAGAAGTCGAAGCTGGCGAGCAGAGACTACACCTTGGAAGTGACGGAAAAGTGTGTTCTCGAGTTCACCAAGGCTTCTGTGGGCGTCCTGTGGGCAAGCCCGACGAAGTTAAGAGATTACCAACATTGCTTTATAAGGCTGAACCACCACGGGCAGCTCGCTCTCGTTAACGACTACAACAGGATCGTGTGGGAGACCAAGCCGGCGTACGACGACGGAGTTTACGTTCTCGTTGTGAAGATTAACGGCGAAGCTGTGATTTACGGCAAACGAATCTGGTCTACCTAATCGTTTGTTAGTTAACGTGGTTTTTGACGTTGCTGTTTCTGAATAAATAGCATCCTTTTGTTGCTGATATATATTTGGGTGTCTGATTGTCTTGCTTGGTTTCTGGGCTTTAGGTCCTCTTGTCTTTTTTTTTTCTTTTTCTTCTTCATGTAGCTGTGTTTTCATGGAATAAATTTGAGTTATGAACCAGTCCTTATTGTTTTTTTTTAATAACCGAAGAATCCTTCCTCGAAGATTAATTGGTATATTAAGTATTGAGCCTTGCCCATCAATTCGATAGATTTTTTTTTTTTTTTTTTGAAAGGAGTATCCACCCGTTGTCACCTCTTAAAGGGCGCTTGGCGGTGTGACTAATCCTCAGCTGAATTATAAGAGGCACTCAACCCAGAAATCTTATGGCCTACACTTGATTGAGCACCACTTAAGAAGCGCTGCCGCTCGAGTACACAATTCCTTTTCAATGATAAGTTATAAATGCTAAGTGGGACGCCGCATGAATATTTAATTTTGAAGGAATAAATAATTTTTATTATTTTGCTAAAAATTATTTAATTAAATCTGAAAAAAAAACTATATATTTATTTTAACTCAGGGTTATAAATCCTTTCACTGGACAATCTGTTTTGATCAGCTAAATTCAATAAACTCTTCAAATTTATCTAGTAAAATTTAATGATCATTATAAGTGCTCAATTGAATTTGATTAATATTTTTAGTAGTTAATTAAGTTGGAAAATTACATGAAGATTTTGTTTAATCATCAATTAAATCAGTATTTGTGACCCTCAATTTTGTTTTCACATCAATCTAATCATCATTCAAATTTGTTTTTTCTCAATCAAACAAAATGTTTCTATTGCAATAAATTATTTATGTTTATATAAAATCATTCATTTTTTTTTTCTTTTGAAAAATATTTCTGCACATTTATGTAAAGTTACTGCTATGCTATTATGATTATATCAAACTATCTAAAGTAAACAGTTTCCATCTTTTTTTTTCGTTTTTTCAATTTTAGAAGAGGTAATTAGCATTTATTATGCCTGAGATTTAGAATTTTTTAAGACAATTTTCTTACTATTTTATAAATCAGTTTTTTAATTCAAAAATTATTTTTGCTTAATATTTTTTATTAAAAAATTGATTTAAAAAATAATAAGAAAATTAGCTATTCTATCGAAACCTTAGTTAAATTCTATATAATCCTAAAAAATTTGACTACATAACAAATATTTTCCTCAGGTTAACTGTCTTCCAATAACAGTTAAAATAAATGGTAGTTTATTCATTAACCTATTTTTGTTTATTAACCTAGAAAAACAATAACTATAAAACTTAAGGTTTCTTTTGGGATAGTTATTTTACTGTTTTCTAAAATAATTTTTTAGTATCAATAATTTTAATTCAAAAATTTTTTATACTAATGTGGGCTCCGAAAATTTGGCCCCGGCCTCCGTCAACGACTGATGTTTTTTTTTTTTAAGTTCCGGGGTAAATTTTGGAAGGCATATGAGTTTGTATAAAATACTACGCTGAGATTTTGCCCTCATTTTGCGAAGACTTTAATATGAGTTCTGGTTTCCTGTAGGCGAAAGACCCTATAGTTAATTACCCCTCCCGATAACAAGAGAACTATCGATTAAGGCTAGTCGTCAATAAGATATGTAGAGATACGTGTTATCTGGCATATGGTAGCAGCATAGGTTTGGGATGTTGGAAAAATTGTTGGGAATTGAAGAGTTTGTAGGTTTGGTATTTAAAATAGAAATTTTTACCCTCTTGCACTTAAAGTGGATGGTGGGGGAATGAATAATGGACCCGATCAAGATCCCATGGTTCTGTCGTCCCGGACCATCGTGGTCCCTGGTCTACTTAATCAGAGGAGGTAGTCGACCCAACCTGATAGAAGAATCCTTGTTGGTAGCAATGGGTTGCTTCTTCCAAGGGTATCTTGTAGACATGAGGTGAATGTTTGTCTAAGGGGATAAATTTGAATCTACCTTATCTAACAGAGGGCTTTGTGTCATATCAATCATATCTTATTGATTCATATCTCAAGGATTTGATGCCAGTAAAAAGCGTATTGGCTCTGGCTATAACCGGTGTTCTGTGGTGCTATTTGGCGGCAAAACCAATCGGTTCAAAGGGTCCCGGGTCATAACTGTTTATCATGCGGTGCCATTTGACGGCAAAATCGCCGGTTAGATCGTACCACATCCTTACTGGCAGGAGATTGTTTGAGAATGAATCCTAGTGATATTTTTCATTAGGCACTAACTCTATATGAGCTAAAGTATTTTTTAATTTGTCCACCCCGGCAAACTGTTGTAGATGGTGGATGATTTTTTCTTTAAGTATTCGGATGGTTGATTTTCAAATTTTAAATATTTTTGGGATTTTTTTTCAGGTATTCGGGTAGCATTTTAAATATTTGAAATGGACCCCTCAGGTTAAGATTAGCATTCAACACGGTCATCATTGGGGTATTCGGGGTCATTCCTCTTTGTTGATTGAACCTTGTCAACTTGACCAAGCTATTGACCGAGGACTGAGTTTCTTGTAGTCTTTGTGCCTTCATTAGTAAATTCTCATTATTATAGGCCTTGACGGACTAATATAAATGTATTAAAACAAATATACTAGTCGTTATAGTCGTATATTTGTTTGTTGGTTTGAACCTTGTCGACTCCTATTAATTTGTATATGAGGATCGGGTTCGAACTTGAATTCACTTATTGACCCGTGTAGTATCCCTAGACGTCTCGTATATATCGAAAACACGCTCGCAGGGGCCCATGTGGGTGTTGATTGTATTTACCCCATTTAGTGTACCTACGTGTATACAAATTACAGTGCATGTGCGGGGGTATTTTGAAAATATTTAGAAATGCCTTCTGTTCGCTTGCATGATTGTTACAGATCTGGTGGCATTACATAACGTACAGCTTCTGAATTAAATTATTCGCTGCTTTATACAGGTAGACTGTCGTTCACTACTTGTTGCTTTCTACATGTGAATTGTATTACACTAACTAATCTCCTGCCTTTGTAGATTCTCGTATGAACTTGTATTTACTTCATTATTTGTACATTTCATTGTGGTTTTGCTCCTTACAACATGTCCACTACTGAGGTTTATAGGTGTATTCATTTGCAAATTAAGGTTGACTATATGATACTACATTTACTGAAGTCTTTGTGTATCTACCCATGTGTGGTATGTTGCATATACATCTATATCCATAGATGACTCGTATGTATTGCAGATCTTTTGCTGTTATATAAGGGCTTTTGTATTTATCACAGTTCTTTTATATTTGTCTGTAGATTGTGTATTGTGTATATGAAGAATCTTCATCAACGACTTGAAGGAGTACTTTGCACTTGATGTATTTCTTCATCCATATTTGTAGGAGAATTCATCATACTTATAACATACCTAGTACCACGACTTGTGAGCACAATCATTATATCAATAACAAATTTTAGGTTGTTCGTAAGGGATCCACCATCCATGCAATATCCCTACCACAGTTGTTTGTAGGCAGATTCAGCACCTTTAATATGTATATTAACATATATTACTGACTGGATTGCACCATTGATTGATGATTTGTTACATTTGCTTGTGTATCTTTTAGTACTTGTGGTAGGCGTCATTTGTATTCATAAGATATATAATCTCGGTTGTAGGAGAGTCATTGCTTTTACATCTTAGCCATCGTCATCACTCATAAGTGGGCTAATGTGTTCATTATGTTCCTCATACCATTCATTAGAGACCCCATTTTGTAGCAAGTGGTTGCCAAAATTCTTTGTAGCGGCCTTCCCCATTCACATATGAATCCCCTTTGTTCATCAAAGATCGCCTGATCTTTTATTTGTGGGCAAGTAACAACTACTTATAGGCCACCATTCTTTTCTTCATTTCCTTTCACCTTGTAATTTGTTGCTTATGTATGAGCTTGTTATTTTTAAAGTATGTCAAGTCCTTCCAATAGTATTTGATTGTATGATGATCCCTTGATACTCCAATGAGATTCATTGCTGTCGATTGTGGACATTTCATTGCATTCTCTATTCAATCTTTGCTTGCATGATTGATGCTTCTCACTTTGTAAAATTACAAACTTTTGATTGTATGCATCTTAAATGATTTTTTGAGTATACTATTGATTATTCACCATTTGTGAATAACTCATATCACATGCCAAAGTCTTTGTTTGCATTTTAGTTGTCATTTGTTAGGAGTTCTGTGTTGTTTATGCATGGATTATGACTAAAGCTTTAATTTGCTTGAAGCTTCCTCCATCACGAGTCTCCTGTTGTTCATCCAAGTCCTTACTTGAGTTGAACTACTCAAGTCTCAAGTCAAGTTTGAATCAATTCCTTTGTTCATTTGAGTTTGAATCCAACTAGTTCAATTCATATCCACTTGATGTTCAAATTAAGTCCAAGTTTGAACTCATTAGAATTAAGTATGCTTTGCTTTGTGTCCAAACACGAGTTCATTTCATTGTTCAAGTTCAATGTCAAAGTTCTGGTTTTGCTTGAGTCCAAATCAAGTCCACAAGTCTGCTGTCAACTTTTCCAAATCCTTGTTCAAATTCACTTGGAGTTCAAGCCATTTTGTGGTTCATTTAAGTTATAGTTTAGATTCAAGTTAAATTCAATGTGATTTGGTCCAAACTTAAGCTTCAACTTAAGTCCACAACGCAAGTTCATGTTTTATACATTTCAAAATCATTTGAGTTTAAGTTCATTTAGGTCCATTTTGTTCAAGTCCAAGTTCACATTTACCCGAAATTTTTGCAGTCTCCCGGTGTCTCCCCCATTTAGGAGAAAATTACGGGAAACTAGGCCTTTCCCACCACGCTAAGAAAAGCGTGTATGATAGGTGTCCTCGGACGAGGACACCCCGCCTGTATTTTTTTTGATCCCCCACAACGCTAAAAAAAGTGTGTATGGATCTTCGGTACCTGTTGCAAAGGAAAAACAGTTGTTTCCCCGCAAGCGGGTACTTATGGGTATCCCCACTTCGTAATACGCGTCGCACCGGGTTTCCATCCCACCACACTAAGAAAAGCGTGTATAGACGATTTTCCGGTGCGCTACAAAAGTTGAATAAGGGATTTTGGGTGATTACCCGCTTCCTAGCTCCCACCACGCTAAGAAAAATGTGTATATGTGTTCGTTTTGTCGCGCCGCATGCGCCGAAATGAGTTTTCTAAAACTTGCACAATTCTCTAATTTTTTTTTACATGCGTATGTATACACATACTCACACACAAACATACACTTATCTATATAGCAACAATGACAACAGTAGCAATTATTAATCCAGTAGTTAAAGTTTTCATTCTCTGAACAACTAATGCCAACAAGATTAGTAACTTTGGTTGCATTTGTTAATATATTGGCACCAACTATTCCACTGGAGATCTCAGAGTCGTTAAACTATGTTATATTCGTGTTCAGAATCTCCTCAAATGTCATCAATCTAATTCCTCTTATCAACTTGGATCCAACAACTGCAAAGAAGTATGATATTGCTGGATATGCAACAAAAGAAATAGCCCCAAATAATAAGAACACTAATGACTAGAGCTTGGAACCTTTCTTAAGCATGTGATAAGGCTGATGGTAAGTATTTATAACACTATACCAGAGTACTCCATAAAACATAAGAAGTCCGACGATGTTCGTTAATACTGAACCAAGAAGCAGCATTGGAATTTTTTTGGTTCATTAAGGAAGGCAAGGTGATGAAGAGGAACTTCCTTTGGAAGCTCAGGCTTTGCAGTCTTGGGATGCTCTGGTTTACTTACTTGGACATCAGCTCCTTTGTCTTCTTCTGAATCTCTGATATAACCCCAGCAATCCCAACCAAAGAGTTTGAACTAGTCAGGTTTACACTAATGAAATTGAGCTTCTTCTTCATAGTGGTTTTCACAACCCATTTTCCCACACAATTCAGATCAGTATGCTTAGGAAGAAGATCAATGCCTTAGTTACAGCTAGTATAATTGGATTAGTACCAGCAAGATCACATATTCATGCCAAACAAACTTCCCTTGAAATCAACTAGCTTTACTATCAGCACTTAGTCCTAACAGATATATGAAATCTTTTCTCGAAGTTCCTCAGCTAAAATGAACTGCTTATCACCTGAATAGCCACCATGGCCACCAACACTAGTCATCGAGTGCCCATGGGACAATAGCTTATAGCTCCCACATATTATGGTTTTGAGTTGGTGATGCTTCACAAGGTATTTTATACTCACGTCTGTCACCCTTTCATTTGATAAGAAAAAGATGCTCATCATTAACATCTCTTGCGAACTCAAGGTCTATCTTCTCAATGTGTTGATATATATCCAGTGAAAGTGCATATATTAATCCCTCTCCTGCTTTATTCATTTCATGAAGATCAAAATTATTTTTAAACCCAAATTATTTTTACAGCTTTATTTATTTTCATATCAAAATTTTTTCGTCATGCATTGATGATGGTGCCCACTTGGACCTTTGATCTTAATATTATGATGTGGCCTTCAAATTTAGCATGATGTTCTACATCACTAAGTTACCAAGTAATACTTTATAAACCTACTAAGATGGATAAAAATAATTCTTGGTAGATTTCCCTCAGCCTTTCTTATAATGGATTAAGCTCATTGTGTGGTACCATAATAAACAAATCAGGGTATTCCTAATTCTTAAGGTAATTTCATGGAACGCTCTTCGTTGTAGTCTACACCTATAAAGCTAACTTACGTTATGACTCTTAGTTATAACTATGTTAGGTTAAATAAACTATATATGGTTAATGCAACTACCATACTAACATCACCAAAAGTTTCAAAGGAAGAGATTAGGGGCACGTTCATAGTTCAAAGAGGCAAGGGCCACCAAAGTGTTGGAAAAGTAAGTAAAACTCTTTGCTAAGCATTATTTACTCATCATTGGTGACAATAAATCCAATAATGCCGACCACTGCCATTCAATTTATCTCAAATAGAATATTCTTCTACAAGATCTAAATTGAGCATGTACGATTATATAAAAAAAAATGTAAAATTTTAATAAGGACACATTGTGATATAGCTTTCCATCTCATTCGAAACGTACTTTTCCCTTTACTATGAGATGTTCATGAAGGCAAGGGAAAGTCATCACACCAAAATTCATCATATGTATATGATTATAAAATATTAGTCATCATTGGTGACAATATAATTTTCGAAGGCCCCTCCTTCATTAAGATTCATACAAAGAGAACAATCAACTTCATCTTTTAAACGAACAATAGAGTATTATTATAGGCATTATAAACATTGAAGGCTGGTCATAGTTATACTTCTTATAGGATATTTGTTGGCTTCTTTTCAAATACAAACTGGAGTTTGAGGGAAATTGTGATCTCTCCTAGACTCCAAAGAGCTAATTTTTTGGATTTGGTGGACGAGAGAAAGTGAAAATTTTGTTAATTTTTTTGGCAGTTTTGAATTTTTTATCAAAAGGAATTAACTATATTTCATTCTTATAACACTTAAAAATAGAAGGTGATTAAGAAACTTGTAAATTTTAAAAATATATTAGGACTTGAAACACACAAAATAGTTGAAACAATAATTGTACTCACATGAATCAAGTGTCCACAACTGACAAGTGATAGTGGCCTTAGTGTGGCTAGCGACTGATCGGTGCACCATCCTTATCCCAAACCTTGGTGAACATTTTTTGAGGTTTGGTCATACTTCGTTCACCTGTTTTGACTACCCAAAATAATCTTTTAACATTACAAACTCAATTTAGCAATTTTCGGGCCCCAATGAAGTCATTAAAGGTAATTTGAAGCCATTTTAGAGAATTACTAACCAACATTTCAAAAATGAATAATGTGTTGACTTCATTGAACGATAAAATTAAAATTGAGGGAAATTATTTCATTAATGATTTCTAAGGGAGGTCCATATCAATATCTAGGGAATGAGCTAGACTTAAAATCTTCTATAAATTATGAGTTTAAATCCCAAAATATTAGGAATTAGAGTAGTTTTTGGTCTCACAAACTATTATGTCAAAAGTAAGGGGATATTTGATGCTTCAGAAAAAAAAATCTAATCAAGCACAATTTTTTTATGTAATCTTCATAAGTCATAACTCAAAGCACCTACATATTTGAGTTAGAAAATTTGGAAATTAATTCCAATATCATTTAAACTATTTTTTAGCAAATTTATAGTTAATATACTGCGATTCAACATAATGATACTAATCATGCATAAATCCTAGCTTAAATGGGCCTACATTAAAACTTATAACCACGGATAGGACCTTTTTGAAATCATTTGAGAGATCAAATATCTTCCAAATTTTATGTCAAAATGATTTTCTCAATAACATAAAATTGATGAGCCTAAGTTCACTTAATTATAATATCATTAATACACTAAGAATTCTAAAAAATATCAAATGATCAAGGGGTATTAATTAGGACTATTCTATGAAGTATTTTATTCCTAGTAGAATTGATAAAAATTATCCTATTTCTTCTAAACTCCTATTATTATTTGACTTTTGATATTCCTGGTTGAATATTGCCTGATTCATCATTTGTTAGGTGATAATCAAACAAATTGCTAATTGTTTGCTAACTTTTGACATTCTTAATCATTTGACACCTACTTATTGATGTTCGTGACCAAGTTATTGCTCATTAATTCCTAATGACAACAAAGATAACCCAAGAATCATATTTCTACCATAATAAATATCTTTCATAGATTACGACTAATACATTATGTTGATGCCTTCTTTAGTTATTGAAAAATATATTATTTATAATCTTTGGTCGATACTGATGGAATTATTTCAACTTGAATATGCCTCATTAGTTTTCCCATTAATAGATCTTTTAGGAAATAACTCTTAACTTATCTATATGTATAATGTTTTTTTTCTTAAATAATAAAAGGGGGATTTACATACATACCATCTTATTTCATGATATTTACATATTTAACACCCAAAACTTTAATATTATATTCCTACAACTTACATAAAATTTTAATATCAAATATGTCACTCATATATTTCATTCTTACCATCCATACCACTCTATAAATTTTAATATTTAATTATATGCACCTATATTTGTTCTATGAGTAGTAGGCATGTAATATTAAAGTTTTAAAGGTTAGTTATGTAAATAGAAAGAAATAAAGTTGTATGTATGTAAATTCCCCATAATAAAATGATAAACTCCTACTCCAGTGTTATGAATATTCAAACACTCAACATCATTAATTATTAATTATAAAATACAATAAATAAAATATATCTTTTATTTATTTCAATTTATTTTAATATTTTAAATTGCATTTGCTAAACTCTATTAATCCCACTTTATACAAGACATAAAATTAGTCCATTAAAATATTATCAAGATAAATTATTTCAAATGATCATATTTTATTTTAAAAATTAAAATTTATTTTATATTTAAAATAAAATATTGATCACAATTAGACAAATAAAATAAAATTGAATTTCAAGTCCTATAAGTATGTGCGTGCATTTGATTTGATTATTTTGGCCTATGAATTACTTAAAATAATTAGTTTTGATTTTAAAATTTAGAAAATCTAATTAGTAATTACACATAATTGAATTTTAATTTGATTAATTTATTTTGATTTTGAATTAATTGAAATATAAACAATTTTGAAAATAGATCTAATTATATTTATCTTAAATAATATGTATTGATAAGAATATCAAATAATATTTTAAAATTTATAATTTTAGCATGTAGAAATACATAATACCAATATTAATATAATTCGAATCAATATTCCTAATAATATACATAACACCCATTTGCGGAAGAAAATGCGAGTATGGCATTTCTTGCCCGCAACATCTTTCAATAAGCCAACGAAAAGGGTATGCATATAAATGTCGATGCAAGGGTTGCCTTACGGCACCTGTCGTGTATCGAACTCAAATCAGGCGGCACAATTCGCAAGCCTATTGCGTTCCGTTTCCCCCCTTCTCTCTACACCGGCTCCTACAGGTTTTTCTGACATCCTCTGGCAATCCAAGCGCTTATTGAGCGTAAGAGACGAAGTGGACAAAATTTCCCAAAAAAAAAGAGACGAAGTGGATTGGTGAGAAGTAGCGCCTTTTAGAAACTTGGGCTTTAGGGTTCGGAAGATGGCGAGCTGCGGTGGAAGCGGTTACCGGGGAGGGAAGGTGGTTGGAGACTACATGTTCGGCCGTCAGATCGGTTCGGGATCCTTCTCGGTGGTGTGGTTGGCAAGGCACCGCGTGCACGGAGTGGAGGTGGCGGTTAAGGAGATCGTGATGGAGAAGCTCACCAAGAAGCTCCAGGAAAGCCTTCTCTCAGAGATTGCAATTCTGAAGCGCATCAAGCATCCCAATATTATCGCAATGCACGATATCATCGAGGTCCGTTTCCATCCTGCGTGCTTTCTTCCTCCTCCATGCTGCTTTTCCACTTCTTTAAAAATAGTTCGATTTTTCAAATTGAGTTCTGTTACCCTTTTTTATTCACCTCCCAGAATTGAAGTATGGAGTATTTCTGTTTCAATCACTATATAATTGCAGTACTTCATATGGAATAATGGATTATTTATCGCTCAGTTTTTGGGAGAACAACATTTTTGTTCTTAGAGCTTAGGGGATTCCTGGTACCATGTGATGTGAAGTGCAGCATAAGCTGCTTTATAAATGCTATTGACTTGACAAGCCTTTTATCCTCCGTCCTGGTTCCCTCGTGGCGCCTCTTTTTCTAGAGCTTGCTAGAGGGAAAGCTGAAATCTTAAGAAAGGTCCGAGAAGTTCAACATTACCTAATGTGGACAATTTCTTCAGCTATGAACTTCAGCAAGATCTTCCTTGAAGAAGTTAGGAGAGTTGTAGCTTTCTTTTGTGGCCTGAGTCAATTGAAGGTAGATAATGCCAAGTCGTCTAATTGGAATATCAATATTTCTGATTGTACTGGCCCTTAGACAATGGTGATTCAACCATGAGAAGAAAAGGAGAATAAATGGGAAAGAACACCCAAGAGAAAAGATTTTCTTATGATAAAGAAGTTACAAAAATCCTAATCTATCTAGTTGGGTTAAAATGAGAAGACTCTTTCAGTTATTTGAATTTTGTGGTTCTGTGTTAAGTCACATGCCAGGGTTTTTCATAGACCCTACATGTGTCTACTTGAATCATATTTATAGCTGCTCTTGGAGCTTCATCTCACTAAGCTTTGACGGTACTTGATGTCATCTATCTCAATGTGTAGATTCATTGTGCTCTATTTCTTATTCCAAGTACACTCACAGACTCCTATAACATTGGATTTGAATCCATAACTAAACCCAAACAAATAGACTTGATCAAAATCAATGGTTGTACTGAAGTGCTGTTTTTAAAGTCCCCTTAATGTAGAAAAAAGATTTGATCTTATGCTAATTTGATGATTGGATCTTGTTGAAGAACACCTATTCCTTGTTATTCCTTCTTGCATGTATTACTCCTATTTTGAAATCTAACCGCTTAGAAGTGAAAGGGGATTGTAGAGAGAGTTTAGAGAGAAAGGAGGGGAAGAGGAACAATTTTTGTTGAGGACAAGAGAAAGAGAGAGGATGAGGCTTGATAAGAGCTAGCTTATGAGGATTGTGCTTGATAGGAGTGGGACTCAGGATATGCATGGGAGGAATAAAAAAGCAAGAATTTTATATGCTATCTATTTATAATTGATCATAAAAAAATATTCATCCAACACATATTTTTAGACACAGGATTTACAAATATGAATTTATGATACATTATAACTTAAATCTAGATAAGTTAAATCTTATCATGTCTTAGCATGAGTCGATTCCTATCCAACTTTTTTGAGTCGAGTTATATGGATTATATTTCATTCCAACATGAGTTATACCAATCGGGTCTGATTGAGATCTATTCCTCTATAGTTGATAACATGCCTACTAATGACCTATGGTGCACTAACTTCTCGTCGGGATCATCCACAATTTAATAGCAATGCATTGTGATCTTCAACCTCATCAACTTGTTAGTACCTTAGTCTTGAAAACTTATTATGAATGGATTTTAGATTATAATCTTTGGGTGAAGATTCATGATGAATCTCTCTTCTCATTTGTTATTATCTTGAAAGAAATCAGTCTTCTATTAAAGGTAGATGAGGATCATCTAGTACAATTATATTTTTTATCAGCCAAAGACTCTCAGCAACTCGACAATTTATTTGGTAGATTTACTTAAAAAATAGTTTCTTTTCCAACTAGATCCAACAACTAGCTCTATTTTTCATACCTAGCCCACATAACCTCTTTGTTGTAATAGGTTTAGTTGACCGACATTTTTTGTCATTTAGCCTGACACAACAATATATATATATATATATCACGTATTAAGTGAGTCATTAAAACCGTTATGTTACATTCTCATTAGACATATTATTCATACATCCTAAAGTTACTTTCACAAGAAGTATATTAAACCATAGACACATCATTTACATAAGTTTACATTATCATGTATGCACATCAAAATATCCTTTAAATTCTTCCAACTCTTCATTTTTATTCAACCTTGTTTTTAGGGTCCTTATTTAAAAAACATTATGCATATAGCGGAGATAAGTATAAGGCTTCATTTGGGATGACTTTTTTTTTACTATTTTTTAAAACAGAGTTTTAGTACAAAATATAAAATTTTTGTACTAAAATTATGTTTTAAGAAGCAATAAAAATGTCGTTTTAAACGAAGCCTAAATTCCAACAAATAACACTAAATATTATATAGTAAACTATATTCAAGGATAGAAGATGATATGCATGCCTTATGTAGATCAATCATCATCACTTTTATATGGACACAATTGCCTATGAAATAAATCATTATTCATGATCATTCAATAGTTTATTATGCATTTATATACAACATGTATCATCATCATTTTGGTAGGGTAGTCATCCCATTTATATTGATAGGAAGCTGTTTAATCGCAATCATATAGGCATCTTGTTTTATAAGATTGCAATCCAACCATGCAGTCATCATTTGGGTAGGAGTGTAGGTAGGACAGTCCAATCATATAACCTTTCCTTGTTTCATCATTTTGGAGAAAAAAACTATGGTTTAATCATTTTACCTATTTGTCTACCAACTTTTATGTATCATTTTACAGTATGCAAGCATATCCTGTTCATCTTTAGCTTTCATACAAACACATCTTCCATTCATGACATTCATGATAACTTCCATCTTCTTATAGCACAAGTCATGAATCATATATCACATGGTATTCATGCACAACATGCTCATGATGATATACATCTTTGCGTGGCGGTGTTAAGTATATGCGTGTGTATATCCATCAACATTTAGACTATCAACCATTTCTTATAATCATTAGAATCATTCATGTATATAAAAAATTACATTAAATATTTCATCATTCAAAATTCCAAGGAAAGAAAGCATGCTCATCCATGTCATAACAAAGATCACTCACCCCAAACAAGCTATTAGCTCGCAAGTCTTACTTCTAAATGCTTTTGTCCTTATTGGATTCCCCTCTAAGCTCTTACCAAAGCATTCACAAGCTTTTTAGCTCTCCAAAATTACAAGAAGCTTTACATGCTCCTCTCTCTATCCCTTATATTTCATATTTATTGAAGTCACAAGTATCCCTTACCACTCCCTCAGTCATGTTTATCAGAATGCATGCCATCATTCATGCCTTGACACCTTATAGACTACAAATTATAAGTCTTTGCTTCATAAATCAAGTTCCATTCATTTTGGGATGCTATAAAAGCAAATAGGTCATAAACCAACATAAATATATAAGCTTAATTGTACATTTATTTCCAAAAACATACAAACTTCACATAAAATTGCCTACCCCTATGCTTTAAATGTACATACTATTGGGTTGGGAGTTTGTATGCATGTATGGGGTGATTTCACTTGTGCTCAATGCAATGATGTATAGGCAATATACATGCATTTTATTGGAGAAAAAGGATACTTTGAATAGTGAATTTTGAGAAGTGGGTCAATTAAGGCGAATACACAATGCATCTGATGTAAACACTAGGTTATCATATTTATTACTCGTTTTTCATCTCTAAAATTTTGCTTTCATACTTGAAAACAAATATGGATATTCTTGTTCCTAAGCTCCCAATATTATCTTTGATTTCTTTACATATGTTGAGTCAAATGTCTTCCCCTTTATGTAAAAGTATCCTAGTCTCTTCTTGAATAAATGTATGTAAAGAAAATATGTGAAACACATCATCGATATCATGCTTCGTCATTAGAAGATCTAATTTGTAAGCCATCTTGTCCGCTCACTCCACAAGTTCAAAAGGTCCAACACATCCAGGATTCAACTCCCCACTTTACCAACTAGTCACTCTCTTTATTGGGCTAACTTTAACAAGTGCAAATGAACAACATTGAATTCAATATTTATTTAGAATCTAATGCTTACTCTGTTGTATTTAAGGTGCATTTAATATATCTCTTTTTTGACAAATTTGTGTTGTTTGGTCAATTAACTTAACCCTATTAATTTCCTTTCTCCAATTTTTGTTTGGCATAATAATGCCCACATATTATTGAGTGTTTCATATGCTCTCATATCAATACTTGATTGAAAGTTATTATTGTAAGTGAACTTTATTAATTGTAGTTGGTTTTCTCAATTCCCTCTAAAATCAAGTACACAATCGTATTAGATATTGAAGAATCTAAATTACTCTTTATAACTGACAATTCGGTCGTGGATAAAAGGCTGTACTAAAATCTAGCCTTTTCCAAAGCCTTTTGATTTCTACCCCCTAGCTCGTACCATCACTATTTGATGCAATTGCTTTTGCTGCACCATGCAATCTAACAATGTCATCCACATATATTTTAGCTTGTTTATCAAAAAATTCATGTTGTTTAATTGGCAAGATGCGAGCAAACTTTGTGAGTTTGTCAATAACCAACCATACAACATCATATTCTTGCTTAATTCATGAAAAACCTATCATGAAATCGATAGCTCTCTATTTCCACTTCCATTTTGGTATTGTCAAAGTCTGCAATAATCTTAAGCTACAGTGCTTTGTTTTAATCAATTGATAAGTTTAACATTAGGCTACAATTTCAATTGTATTTCTTCATGTTACGCTGCCAAAAGACAGCCTTCATATCTTGATGCATTTTATTGCTTCCTAGTTGGATTGTGCAATTGGAGTTATTTGTCTCATGCAAATTCTCGACTCAAATCTATACCATATGGAACATAGAAACAATATTTGAATTTGAAACCTTATTATTATGATATTAAGTTCTTCTTATCTTTCGTTATTCACACATTTAATTAGCTTGCTATTATGGATATTCAAGTTGCTTTCTTATAAAGCTTTTTTGCCAAGTTGGTTGAATAACTAAATGAATGGGTTGTAGAAAATACTAAACCTTTAATATTATCTTCTCTACATATAATTTCTCTCTATCTTCTGTTAATTACTCTTCATTTGTAATATACTATGCTATATTATTGAAGGTTTTCTACTCAAAGCACCGATAACTCTATTATCTTGATCAAGGTGTTGCTATATATTAAGATCATAATGTTTGATAAATTCTTATCATCTCCTTCACCTTGGTTTAATTTTTTTTGATTGAAAATATATTTTAAGCTCTTATGATCATTAAAGATCTCATGATGTTCACCATATAAATGATGTTTCCGAATCCTTAGAACAAAAATCACACTAATTCTACGTTATAGGTTGTGTAATTTCTCATGAGCCTTCATTTATCTTGAAATATAGGATATTACTTTTCCATATTTGATTAATGCACATCAAAAGCCTATCAATGAAGCATCATTGTAGGTTGGGAAACCAGTAATCCTTAATAGATAATATTAGAGTTGGAATTATACATTACTTCAACTTCAGAAATATTTTGATCACATCTCTCATTCCAATCAAACTTCATTATTTTTTGAATAAATCTTCTGCAATACTCTACTAGTACGAGAAAAATGCAAATCTTAGCAACTTAGTTAGTCTACGTCTATTGGCCATTGTTTTAATCTTTTGAGGATTAACATATATTCCTTTATTGGTCACAGTGTATCTAAGATAAAACATAAATTGTGCAACCCAAATTCATATTTAAAGAATTTTGTTTACAATTTATTTTCTGCCAAGTTCTGAAAACAATTTGTAGATGTTGAATATGCTTAGCTTTTTTTTTTTTTGAATAAATAAAATATGACATAGCTAAGCATAGTTGTGTATCGATTAAAAAATAGCTTGAAAATTCTATTAATTAAAAAGCTTAGTCAATGTTGTACTCAATTTAGAGCATATTAAATGTTCTCAAAAGTTTTAGGAATTTTACCTAGTATACCAACATAATAGGGATTGCTTACATTTCTGATTTCTGGATTCCTCTAAAATTTCTAGATGATAATTTTTTATCAATTTGACATGCTTCTTAAGTCATATCAAGTAGTGCTTCCAATCATAGGAGCTGTACACAAAGCATGCCATAATTATATTGATTATTCATATAGCATGATCATCAAAAACCTTGCTTTCCCCTATCATTATGGATTGCTCGAACTTTTTCTTGATTACTTGTTCTTTTGCTTTCACTGCCATTGAAACTCAATGAATGTACCAAAATGCAGAAGCTTGAGTCAACCAAATGAATATGAAAAGTGGTTTGCTTGGAATAATGAGAATAGTGATCATACATAATGTGAGACCTTAGTGTTTCAACTGCAACAACAACAACAACAACAACAACAACATCAAGCCTTTATCCCACTACGTGGGGTCGGCTACATGAATCCTTTTTCTCCATTGTGTCCTATTAAAAGTCAAATTCTCGTTTAAATCTAATAAAGAAAGGTCATTCCTAATATTTTCTAACCAAGTCTTTTTAGGTCTACCCCTACCTTTCTTAACATAAGTCAAATCTAATACCTCTACTCTCCTAACCGGGTCATCGGAAGGCCGCCGTTTTATGTGATCAAATCATCTAAGGCGACTCTCTCTAATCTTATCTTCTACTGGAGCTACTCCAACCTTTTCACGTATATGCTCATTTTGTATCCTATCTCTAAGGGTAAACCTTAGTGTTTCAACTGCAAGAAAAAGAAATGTGAATGAACATTCAAGCTAGAATATCTTTCTTTTAGATCAAGGTTTTATAGAAATCACTACTAGTAAGTACGAGTAGAAAAAAGGAACCGTCTCTTTCACTCATTTTTGATGTCGTGGTTCTTGGAGTTGTCTTTTACTTCCCCATGATGCTACTGGGCCTAATTTGTGCTTCTACGACTCATTTACCTGTGAATTCCTTTGGCTGCTTCTTGGATTTGATCCTTTAAATACATCTTCTTTTACCAGGTTGTCTATATTAAAAATTAGTGATTGAGCTAAAGAGCTGGTTTGCATTTCTCCACTCTATCCACTTAAACAATGGGTGTTGATGTGTTTATTATATCTTCTGGTTGCCTTATTTGGTAATGTGTGTTGGATTTGGTGTATTGACTTGAGATTGAATATGAATAGAGAAATCAACCGTAAAATGTCACTTATAATCGAACTATGATCATTTGTGAGAAGATTGGTACGGATGACATTATGAAGAGAGATTAGTTGCAAAGATTGGGAGCATTGATGATAGTGTTGCAAATCTGTGTTTCCTGGTGGTTAATGATACAAATAAAAAAATGCAAAGTAGCATCTCGCTGGGGATTATTTTGATGACTATTAAAGAGATTGTGCTTATTTTCTAACGCCATTAAAAAAAAAAGCTTCCTATATAATTAAGGGCATTTTTAGATGTTGCATTTTTTTGAAAGCATTGCCATTAGAAGTTTTACAATGGTGCTCTAATTGTTGTATAATTCTATTTGATTTTGCATTCACTTGGCCTCCTTGTCTTATATTCTCGCCTTTTGGAGAAATTCTCATATTAGAACACTGCAGAGGAGGCGACATGATCATGAGAAGTTTTACATTTGTGCTCATGCTATTTGATTTTGCATTCACTTGGGTTCCTTGGCTTAACATTCTCAGGCCTCTGGGAGAATTTATCTCATATTAGAATACTGCAGAGGTGGCGACCTATCCCTGTATATACGACGGCATGGAAGAGTTTCAGAAGCTACTGCAAAGCACTTTATGCAACAACTAGGTACAGTGACCTGTTAATTGCTTGCTATAATTAAAAAAGAAAAAAAGTTATCCAGTTATTGAACTTTACATTATTATTCTTTGTATAATTTAATAATATAGATATATATATTTTCACCTGCACAGCTAATGGCTTGCAAGTTCTCCGCGACAACAATCTAATTCATCGTGATCTAAAGCCACAGGTTTTACAATTCTCTTATGAACTATTAAAGATCCATCTTTTGCTTACAGCAAACTTACTATATCAAAATGTACGTCATGTCCTTAATGAAGCAATGTTATTTGTATGGAATGGTCTTCAAAAACTTTGCTGAATGTTTTGTTGTGACAGATCCAAAAAATCAGAAGAATATATTTTTTTTTTCTAAAACAGAAGCAATAATAAGCAAACTTTCTTAAAGTAGTGATAAATACAAGTCCACTCGTTCCAAAAATTTACCCATATTCCTTTTACTTGTTTGTGGTACTTGAATGCTGCCTAAGTTGCCATTTGTTTGTGAGGTTGTAGGTTCTACTATCTGTTTCTTCTTCACATTCCTTTAAAAACAAGGATGGTGCGTATGTTTGTTGGAACTCAAAGCTGCTGGGATTGTATTGGAGACCATTTTTATGTCATTGATAGTCTGTTAAGTTGGTTTAATGGGACAGCTGAAATACTGACGGAAGAATATCCCTCCCCCCGCCCCCCCCCACCCCCCCCCCCCCCCCAAAAAAAAAAAAAAAATCATACGAAGAAACCTTGCCACTAGTTTTACTTCATTGCGCAAACAAGGGATCCACTCATTTAGGAGAAACTTGTGTATACTAGCCTACTAGGATAGTCATATTATCACTAGATCAAAATATGCACTATTAGGAGGCACTGCCATAAATTAAACAAGCACTAATAGCCTGAAAGCATTAATTCTAGCTCTTTTTGGGATAATTCATATTAGTTCAACTTACAAGTATGAGGATCGAAAGTGGTTCAAGAAGCAAGATTTATCCTGTCAAATATGCAAACAGAATCCATGTTCCCTGCAGATCTACAATAGAAAATGACCGAGACATCCCAAAAATTTTGAATGACAAGAACGTACATGAGAGAAACAATTTTGAATACAAGAAATCAGTAAGGTGAGAACTTTTGCTCGGAAAAACTTAAGCATGAGATTGATCATGCTAATTGTTGCAATTAAACAATATTAACTTTAAAAGGGGGTGATGATGAATCTTTTAGTAAAAGATGTCATTACATAAGTTGGGTCAATGCGTGTAGATGATGCAGGGAGTGGGGTTTGAAGAGAGATTAGGGCAAGTCATTAGATTGTGGTGATATGTAACAATTCTAGAAAATCAGGTGGGTGTAGAAGGGTGTGGAGTTTTGCCAACATTGGCCAATCACGGTAACTTGAAGGAAAAAACTTGAGGAGAGTATAAATGAGAATTGAAGATAAGATTTTGTGAAGCTTCTTTGGTATTATGACGAGGTGTACATTGTGAGTCCTCGTTAGTATGGCTGACCAACACTCCCCTAGCACTTAGAATTTTGAGGATCCCGCGCTTTCCTAAAATATATATCTCTTCTTCAATTAATAGTCCTCTGCTCAACTAAAATTCATCCTCTTCTCTTTTTTTTGAATGAGACCTTACCCAAGAATACACTAACCCATTAGTTGTGCATGAAAAATAAATTTTTAGGAGATTAAACAATTTAAGCAAATGACTCGTAGATCCACATCAAGGTAAAACAGTACTGATGGATAATTGAGGCCAGTATTTTTCACTATCAAAGCCATCTGCTATAGAGATTTACTATCTATTTTGGGAATACTATTTTTTTTGGGCACAACTTTACTATGACAATTATTTAATCTTTGTTGATATTAGCATTCCTATTTACATATTCAATGATAGATCTTTAACTTTGCATGAACAACTAATTATATAAACTCTATTGTAATTAAGCAACGATATTCCTGCAAATTGACTATACTTGGTGAGATTTTCAGATGAGTGAATTGATTTTTTTACTAAAATTATCATACTCCTTGCTTGATGAACTTGATTTAAGTTATTTTTTTAATATTCAAAGGCCTCGAAATTGATCTTATAGTGGGATAGAGAATAATCATCTTATAAAGAAATCTGTTGATAATTGGTTCTGATAAATCTATTTGCACATTATCTAGAATCCTTATTAATTTTTACTTCATACATCTTACGCATTGCATGCACAAATGACACTTATTATGAAATAGATCCAATACAAATTTTGATCAATTTATTTTCCAAACTAATTAATTTAAGGAACAAATAAATAATAGCTTAATTGGTTATAGTTTCTTCCCTAGAAAATGTAGTTTTGCGAAGCATAACTAGGTTAGAGGCATACATCACTTCCTTGAGACAAAATTTAGATTAGTTAGTGCCATAAATTGGCAGCGACATGGAAGCTCTTGGATTTAATGTTCTCAAGATGCTTACTGAGACTCAAGATGCTTACTGAGACTAGGAGTCTGATATATATATTTTTTTTTAACTTAGCACAACATAAATGACAAACACTAGGTGCCATTTGACGATCTTCAAGTCCCTAGAATGATTTATATCTCTCATAATTCCTCCTTGAACACTATCTGCTAGTCATACTTGTCATATTGATCTTCAAATTCTTCTAGAATGATTAAGATATAAGCTCTTGGATTTGATGTTGTCCAGATGCTTACTTATATTAGGAGTCTAAGATCTGGGTTTCATCATTGAACACACAAAACTTATAGGTACTAGTTGTCAGTCCTGAACTTCATGTTTACACCCTTCCATTTTTTTTTTAAATGATTTAGGTGTCTCCTTGCTCCTTCTAGAGCACTAGGTGTCAATCATGATTGTCATGTTGACGATCTTCAAATTCTTCCAGAATGATTAAGGTTGAAACACATGGATTTGATGTTCTCCGGATGCTGAATTCGATCGAGGGTCTAAGGTTTATTTAGTTATTTTGACATAACTGTCAATTAGGTGTCAGTCATAGTAGTTAAACTGATGATTTTTTAATTCTTCATTTAGGTTTCTCTCAGCTAATCCTAGAGTTCTAGCTGTAAATCTCTATAGTCTTGTTGATGATCTTCAAATCTTCTGGAATGATTAAGGAGGTAGCTCTTGAATTTGATGTTTTTCGAAGGCTTACTTAGACATGGAGTCTGAGGTTTCAGTTTATTCACTTAGCATAACATAATTGACAAGCGGTGCCTAAATAAAGTTGTCTAATTCCAACTAATAAATATATTCAAAATTCATTAGCTGTGTAGCTGACTTGTAAGGAGCTACTCTTATCTCTAATTATATGGAAATGCAAAGAATACTAAGACAAAAGTATTAGCCACTCCACTATAAGAGTTGTCCTGTTAAATCTTTTCTAAATTGCAGGTAATGTTCTTAACTCAATTGCTGATCACCTTAATTGACTTAAGGAGCTAGTCTCAATGTGTGATAACTCAGAGCATGATTAGAAATTGATGACCAAATTCGTTAATGGTATTTATGTTGACATAGGGTTATTAGTGTATTGGTAATTTGGTATAGTTATGAAAAATGTTGAAGATACCTACCATAAGGCGTTCAATTTTGAGAAGATATGTAGGTTTTCTTCGTGTAGTTTACTTGACCTCCCTCACCCTTGTTGTACTAGATCGTTAGCTAGCTCTATTAGAGTTATCCCTTCAACACCTTTGGAGAGCAAAAACCTCATCAAATATAATGTTTGAAATTACAATACTCTTTTATGAATTGAAATTACAACAAATAATTTCATATTTTTAAATAGGATGAGATGATAGTGTAAAACCTAGCGGTAAGAGATTTCGTTTTTTGAAACAGGTTGATGCATAACTTCGATTGAAATGCCATAAAAAAAAATCACTCGCTACAATTTCAGAAAATTAGTGATAAGAGATTTCACTTTTTTTTTTGTGAAATTGCTCCCAGTTGTGGAATGGGTTTCTTCTGAATTAGGAACAATTTTGAATCCGAGATTTACCTATGATGAGTGATCTCCGATCTAATAATAATCGGCTACATGGAGAGCGGCAATAATCTCACAGAATTGTGTGAGGAAGTTGACATACAAGAAGTTGATAATCGTGAAATTGGTCTAGGAGGAAGGAGTGTATTTAGGTCATTTTTTAGTGTTAAAACAACGGGAAGCAGGAAACACTGTAGGCCTTCGTCGATTGCGAGAAGCAGTTGTCGAATGTGAAAATTATAAAATCCCATTTTAAAGTAATGCCCCAAGTAGATTTCAAGTTGCTTTTCCTAAAACAAAGCAGCAAATAAGCAGTCCCAAACATATCGTATTTGTAAGAAATAACTTTTAAGGGTCAGCGATCTTTTTGAAATAAGCATGAAGATTAGTTTGAATGCCTATGTTGTAGATTTTTCCTCCTCATATGCATCCTATATCTAACATAAATATGTTATGCATTATTTTAGAACTTATGAGCCTTGAGAATTATTAATTTGATTCTTCTATAAGAGAATTTTCTACTGTAATTGTTGTTTGTACTGAGCTCTTTTTTTTATTAGAATTGTGTACTTTAATGCCAAGGATTTTTTTTTATAACATTACTCTAAGAAGAGTTGTATACAAAGAGATTCTTGATTATGAAGAGATTGACCTTCATAAAATGAGCATGCCTAATTAAGAAGATCTTCAAAAGCTTACACCGGATCACCAGAATGACTATATTACTCAAAACTCTTTAGAGGAGAGTTATGTGCCCCAGGGGAGTTGTACAATTAATATTGGCTGACTATTCTATGAATAAGCTTAACTTAATTAGTTTCTTATTTAGCTATCTCTACAAACAAATTCAAACAATAGAAGGGAACCATATCTTTAGTTTTATGCTTGGTTTACTCTTAATCATACTTGGCCAATAATAACTTATCCTTCATTTTTGCATTACTTTGAATGTGATGAGAGTTTAGGCACTTTTGTCCTTAGTTTAGGATTTGTTTTTATCACTTTAGATAGACTTTATGTATGGAACACTAGTTATGATTATTTTCATGAAAAATTGTGGGATTTTCAGTCATTTTCCTCCTTCCCTATCGATCTAAGTTGTGTATAAGGGTCATTCTGTGCGTGTATGAGAACTTCTCCCTTCTCTCTCTTTTCTCTCAATTCAAGTATACTTTCAAAGTTTTGCTTCATTAGGTGCTTAAGATTGTTGCTTTCTTCTTTCTCAATAGTTTTCAAGTGCAAGTCTCTTACCTCCACATAAAAATAGAGTTCTAGCCTTTCTTTGCTTTATCCAATCATCCTAGGAAGAAGCTTGTCTACTCCTACCATCCACGAACTCTCATCTCGTATACTTGCACAAGTATTTCCTTTTACCACATTGATAATTTGTTAGACCGGCCCATCCTGGGCCGGCTGGACCGGTCCAACAGGGACCGCTCCAATTCTATTCCAGGCGGAGAAAAACGGGGGGAGCGGAACCGTGAGGTTCCGCGTGGGCTTTTGGGGGGAGTTTAGGAGGGAAAATTTGAACGTGAGAGGCTGCTTTAGGAAGTTTATGATTGTCCTTTATGATTAATTTTGTATAATTAGGAGTTTGGGGGGAATTAGCTCCTCATCTTGAATTTGAATTCTCTTTTGAGATCTAGGGTTTGTGTGCTTGGGCTCTTGGCTTCGCCGGAGAACGTTGGAGAGTTGTTCTTCCTCTCGAATTGAAGAACAAATTGTATCTTTGTTGCTTTCTTGGAATTCTAGTAGAATACAAGCAAGATCTTGTGTTTTTCTCCTGTTTTTCCCTATTTTCTGCTGCGTTTCTCTGAATTCCTGCTGTTTTAACGCTGTGGACAGCAGTTAGTTGCTGTATTTTTACTGATTTGAGTTAGGAATACTTGAGAACTTAAGTATTTCCTATCATAATTTTGTGTATCCATGCCAAGTATTGGGATACTCATGCTTGCAAATATTATGTATTGACATTTTAATGCCTTTTTTACCACAGAAGAGGTAACCTAAGGTTTGTCTTTTGCTCATCACTTCTTCCTTTTCCCCCCTGATAAAATTATCACAGAATGTGAAGTTTTTGTTGAAAAAATAGTAGAGAAAGTTTACAGAAGATGAGTTTTGGGTCATAAAAATAGAGTAGAACATCAAAATGAGGGAATTATTTTAGGTTACAAGAGTTTTTCCTCAAATCGTTAGTTCAATTGTCCTTTTCTTAACCCAGTCCTACTGTAGTAGGAGAAAGTATCCTTGATGAACCGCCAAAAAACCATGAAATATCTTTCGTACCAAATATATCACGGCAGAAAAGCAGTCAATGAATTTGTATTTTACTTTGCATAATCATAAATTTAACATTGGTTTATTTTATTTTTCAATTCTTTGAATCTGTATTCTTATATTTTTTACTTCCCTGATGTACTAGTTTATGATTGATGTTTCTTGTGTCCCTTAAGTTGACATGAATGACATTATGGATGCTCTTATTACCTCTTTTCAATAGCCTATAAGCCTAATAAGCCTTGAACCATTTGGTGTGGTTTCCTACTGTTCTCAATATTACTTGAATCATGCAAGAATTCTAAATGGCACCACATGAATACTATACATGCTTGAATCAGCATCTTGCAATGAACTTCGCATGTGTTCTGAGATTATCTTTATGTTTGACAGAATCTCCTTTTGTCAGCAATGGATGACAATTCGGTGCTGAAAATTGCAGATTTTGGTTTTGCAAGGTGAGAGAGTTCCTTTAAAGCATTTATATCCATGCTGATTTTGTGTGATTATACCTCTTAATCAAGTATTACTAAGGGGCTGTTTGATTTGAAGTAAAAGGAGCGTAAAATATTTCAAATGCAGGGGTTTTGATAATATTGATGTTTTGTTTGAAGTAAAAGAAATGCAGTGTAAAATTTTGGTGCATTTGAAATTCACCATTTAGTTCATTTTATGTGTATTTGGAATCCTCAAATTTGGACGAGTTTCAAATACATCGAATATTTATTGCAATTGATGCCACCACAAGCCGACCGCTACCTCCCTCAGTTGCCGACCGCCAACGCATGCCTCTGCCTGCTACCGCCCCACCACTACCGAGCGTTGCCGCCACCGTTGACCACCACTGCCGACTACCACAGCTGCCTGCTGCCAATTGTCGCTGACTGCCGCTGCCCACCACCACCTGCCACTGCCGCTCGCCGCCGCCACCAACCACCACTACCTGTTACCGATGGCCACTACCACCGCTGCCCACCATAGTCTCCGCCACCGTACACCACCGCTGTTTGCTGTCGGCCACCATTGCTGCCAATGTCGGCCACCTACCACCTCCCTTTTTTCATTTTATATTGCATTCATTTTACTTCAAACTAAACAAAACAAGTAATCTCATGTATTCCTTTTACACTCATCCAAACAATTTCAAAATATTCCTTTACACTGCATTTCTTTTTCAGCTTATCAAATAACCCCTAAATTGATCTTAATAATATTTTTTATTTGAATTGATGATGTAATTTTATTTTAGCAGTTTCACTTTGTTACTTTTGTTGCTTTCCTAATCTGCTATAATTCTTCTTTCTTTAAACAGCTTTTCTAAATTTGAGCTAAAATTTTTTGAGATGGATCTGGCTTGTCTGGTTTCATGTTTCATTCCTTGCTAAGACAACACAAGTGAACTATGAAATAACTTTTCTGATTTCGACCTCATATCATGCATTTTTTACAAGAATCACGCAAAGAAATCAAGGCATCTCCTCTGCATCACCATGTTTTGCCGAGGTGGCTGATATGACTTTGTTATAAAGTTTATATATCCTTAAATCATTGTTAGGGGCTTGTCTCACTTATCCGTTTTATCCTAGTATCATCAATCACCTTTCCTGCAATTTGCATTTCTTTTTTTTTATAAAAAGTTCTTATAGCAGCTTTTTCCATCTCAGGTCCTTGCAGCCACTTGGCTTAGCTGAAACTTTATGCGGCTCCCCTCTTTACATGGCTCCAGAAATAATGCAGCTTCAGAAATATGATGCCAAGGTGAAACCTTGATCCCTTTATTTAAAGGTTACTTTCTAATATTTTTTTTCTCACTTTGGTCTTTTAATCCTTACTGCAAGAGCAGGCAGATCTCTGGAGTGTTGGTGCGATCTTATTTCAGCTTGTCACTGGCAAAACTCCTTTCACCGGAAACAATCAAATACAGGTAAGTTACTTGATTTACCCAAGTGGTACTAGCACTATACATATTATTCTGAAAAATGGTTATCATTTTTCAGTTATTGCAAAATATAGTGAAATCAAATGATCTACGCTTCCCCTCAGAAAGCAATTTGAGTCACCATTGCATTGATTTGTGCAAAAAGTTATTACGTCGCAATCCAGGTATGCATCTTTGGTTACAGTTAGTTTAATAATTATCGTATCTTTTTACTTGTTTGTTTGCGAGAGCTGTCAATTTCTCTATTTTTATCTGGGGACATGCTTGTGATTAGAAGAGCTAGGTATGTTGTTGAATGCTATGTGACTATCCAAATGAGTGCTTTAAGAATTGCCTCATACAATTTGATGCTCCAAAAATACATGTTGAACTGGTCTAATATGCATGGTTATCTTGGCGAAAGATGTTGGAGACCGTTATATAAGTTCTCATTAACCTACTTCTTAATCTTATGCATTATATTATAGTGAAAAATAGGCTTAGGTGGTTAATATATGCTCACGGAGAATAGAAAACCACCAATAAAAATGGGTAGATGGAATTAATTGAGTAGGATTATAAATTAGAAGGGTTGAGTGAATGTAACTTGATTAGAAATTGTGCAAAAGAATTTGAGCCAACTAATCTAAAATCTCATGCTACACTTAACAAGAATCTATGGAGAGTGATGATTCATAGACCCCAAATAGTTGGGATAATATTGATGATGATGTTAACGTTTTGATTCTAGGTTATCATATATTCATATTTATGACATCTAATTCCCCCGCCAAAGCATTTCCTGGATATAATTGGCTAATTTCATACGTTTTAAGAATTGGGCTTGAAGAACATAGAAATTATATTATTAATAGTACGTTGTATAAATATTGTTTGTGCTGATATAGGTAAGCAAAGCCATTAAAGCGGCACCAACAACCCTTCCCTTTATTAAACTTTCATTTCAATGCAAAAGAATATGCACAAAATATGTAAGAAAATTTATATGGCACAAAACACAGAAATGATCAGGACAAGTGCCATCAGTAAGAACATTAATATTGCAAAGTGACATGTATATTGGCTCAAGAGATGGAATTGTTAGTCTCTTTTTTGTATGATTTTAATATTTTTTTCTTCACTTATATTAGGTGTGCCAAAAAGCTTGGCCAAGTTTGACTAAAATGCCAATTTGCTAGACGAACATTCATGAAAAAGCTTAAGCAAACTGATAAGAGTAACCTAACACTATGTGCACATTTAATTAAATTATTAGATGTAATGCTTCCTTGAAGTCTTAGATATTTAATGATAAGAGGAACGGTATTTTGCAGTCAACGGATTGACAGAGGAGGAGAAACTGACAGCGGCAGGACTGTGTTTGGAAGGGAAGGCACTGGCATGGTACCAGTGGCGGGACATGAGGCGTTACAGAGGGGACCGGTCCGCTCGTAACATAGTCCCCCTCACTTTGAGATCGTAACCATTTTGGGGCATCATTCCTTTTCAAATGAAATGGCATAGCTGTAAGATTCATCAAAGAGCTCACTTTCCCAATGGCAGCACAGGGGATTCACTGAAACTTAAACAACGACAAAGCCAGAAGATCGAAGTAGTCATATGTATTGTCTTATCCTTATCCTTTGAGCCTGAGTAATCATTTAGTTAGATTTGTTAATTGTTACCACTAGTCATATTTATTCATTGGAAGTTGGACTTATTATTTTGATGACCTGATAACCTATTCAAATCACTTGGTTAAGGCGAAGGGTAAAGTCAACCATTAGTATCGTAACACCAAGTATAGTTCAGTTCTTCATTGTTACTATTTCTGTATACCCTTGTTCTTTTGTAACTTGTGAATTCCCTCACATCATGCAGCTTATTTGTGCTTTTTTTTTATTCTCGTGGTTACTCAGTTACATGCTATAGCCCTTATCTTATTTCCTACCTAGTGTATGCTAAGAGTTAACACTGAAGATAACTTGCAAAGGTGAAGATCTGGTACAAAGGTTTTGGTTCAAGACATATAATGGGAAAGGTGGGGAAGATAGGTGTTGGCTACAAGTAATAAAAATATAAAAGCAGGATAATGTTTATTATCTTCATGCTCTCCCTTTTGTTGGTTGGGCTTTTTTGATTGATAGTAGGATGTGGATCAAAGTGATGGATGGAACTGAGGAGGCTCAATGGTGGGATTCATTACTTGTCGTCAACTCTACATTGCATGTCATGGCCCCAAAAATTTGGTTAACTAAGCTCACCATGTCAATTTTTTGAACTACTTATATTGCATTATTATCTATTAACATTTTTTGCATTTATTTCCTATATTTTTGGGTAGATTTATAGAACTTTATTTATAAAATATAAATATCTACAATACACATAAGTAGATAACTCACCACAAAGTTCCCGTGCTTGGTGTATATATATTAAGTTAGCTTCCAACAGGCATGTACAAATGTGATATTAATTAGTTTCCAAACAGATCGATTTGGGACCAATAAACCTCGTTTCATTCTTATGGTTTAGTAGAGACGAACATGTATCACTTCCCTTGCTCCTGCTAATTAATTTGGTTGGACTGAGTTTAGAACTAGTACGCATATTTAGGAAAATTGCTACCCCTAGTGTAAAAAACCCAATAATATTTGTGATTCATGAGTTACAAAGTAGCATATCATCTTTATTTTTGGACACTCATAAAAGGAACGTTTTTTTTTTCTTTCTGGGGGGGG